TTGGGTAAGCCTGCCCTCATGCCGTTAGCAGGGGTCAAAGTTCTGTTCTCTGCTTCCAGGAAAAGCTGTCAGGGCGGGGCTGGAATGGTCCCGCTCAGCCAGAAAGTCTGTGTGTGTGGGTGGGGCTGTCTGAGACCCGCAGTCTGGAGCGGGCCTTGCTTCTTTCCACCTTCCCCAACTTCGCAGCTTCTCCTTGGCCTCTGCCAGCAGGCCAGACCACAAGCCACCAGGCCTCCCCGGATTGTGATGCTGGCGGGGAGGTTCCCTGCACAGGAATGTCACCTGTGCTGGGTGCATGGCCTCCTCCTGGGAGGAGGGTTGCCCTCTAGGATGCTGATCAGCCCCTGGAGGCACACATACCTCAGTAGGCTGTTCACATATAACCCTTCTGTGCCCCGGGCAATGCTAGCCCTCGGTGCAGGGGATCCGGTCTGCAGGTCCGACCTCTGGGTCTCAGAGTTCAAACTGTATCTCCACCAGGGAGAGGAGTTCTGGTCCCAATTCACCCACAGGGAGCCCAAGCTGGGTCTATGTCTCTCAGCCTCTGAGTCGGCACTGTTCTCCTGGGAACACCGTGCTAGCAGCACCGGGGAGATCTGGCAGGTAGGGAGCTCACAGTCTGAGTTCCCCTCAGTCAGCTGTAGGTTCCCAAAAGGGAAGGTCCTGTTCCCTGGAGGTGCCTCTGGCTGGTGGCTGTCTCTCTGGGCAGCTGCGGGTAGTGTCTGCGGAGGGGAGGAGGAGGCAATATGGTGCCTGCCGCGTGGCTCAGGTCTGTGCACACGGAGGTGCCCAGAGGAAGTTTGGAACCTGGTGCCACGTCTGCTACAATCTCACTGCTGGCTGGTGGCGGCCATCTCTGGGCTCATGTCCGCAGGTCTCTCCACCTGCTGCGGAGCCCACCAGCAGTCCCAAATGCAGGGGAGGGGAAACAGCAAATCCACCTACCCTTGCTGCTGGTCTCCGGGCTGCTCCGGTGGTCTCAGCCTCCAGTTCTCCCCTTCTTTATGGTTTTTTATATATAAGATAATGTCATCTGCAAACAGTGTTAGTTTTACTCTTCTGTTTATAATTTGAGTGGATTCTTCTTATGTTGTTGCCTAACATTTCTGATTAGATCTTGTAGTAATATGATAAAATAGATGTGTTAAGAGTGGTTGCACATTATCTTTATATTAGTATCTGTGCATGTGAAGGATTACTTTTCCAGTTTTTATAAAGTGATTTTGGAAGGTAAAGATGTTTTCTTTAGGGTTCTGGGTTTTCAATGGATAGTTGCTGTAGCTCAGTAACAAGGCTGCCCCTTGCTCTGCAGTGGTGTGCAGTTCTGAAGCACTTGGGCCATTTTCAATCCTCTCTTGATTCTGGGTAAACTAGTTTCCTTCAGGATTTTTATCTGTATGACACCGACTAAAGCATGGTTGTATAGTGAGTCTGCATATGGCAGGGCTGATACCAGCTGTGTGGATGGATGTGGCTCCCAATGAGTACCTTAGAAGTTTCCCTTCAGGTCTCCATGTGGATGTATGTACTGAGAGAACTGGACATGGACTGTAGTTGAGACAGCTGTAGGAGAGTCACAGTCTGTTTTACAGATGATAGCAAGTCCAAGTTATACAGGTCTGCCTTCATGGCTGCACATAGGTGTGTCTCTCCCAAAGTCTGTGGAAGAGCAGCACCATTCTGACTTTTTCACAGGGAACCACTGGGGACTCTGTGTGTCTCTGATGGTTGACGCATGTTATAGTCTGTAGTGAGGACAAGGAGTCCTTAATTTTGCCAACTGGATGAGAACCTGAATATTGAAAATGACTTCCTAGATCTGTGGTACCTCTATGGTTTAATGACCATCCATTTAAGTCCCCAAATTCACATAAATGTAATTTTCTGTGGATAGCTGCAAATTTTTTTTGTGTGTGTGATAAAACAACAGGATATTTTCCCCCCGACCATATTGCTCATTTGATTCTTTATGTATTTTTAAGTTCTGATCTGTTCCATGTCTATTTCTTATAATATTAGAATCCAAGGTTGAGAAAAACATGGGAGCATTTCAATTTCTCTACATTGTCAACATATGTATGTATGTGTATATACATTTACTTATTTAAAACTTCTCAATGTAATGGATGTGAGGTAATATCCCATTGTGATTTTGCTTTGCATTTCTGTAAAGATTAATAATTTTGAGGACCATTTCAAATTCTGTTTGGCCATTTGTATATCTGCTTTTCATAAATGCCAGATCAATACATGGTCCATTATTTAATCAAGCCACTCATTTTTGTTGTTGAATTGTAGTCATTTTTATATATTGAGGATGTAATCTATTATGGTTAAGTGGGTTTCATCCCAGAGATGTAGGCATGGTTAAACATAGGCAAATCCATAAATGTAATTATATACATAAAATGGAAGTAAAAATAAAGACCATATAATCCTCTCAAGAGACACAGAAAAAGCATTTGACAAAATCAGGCCTCTTTGGTGTAAGAATGCTTAACAAGATAGGCATTGAGGGGACTTACCTCAAAATGATAAAGGTCACATATGAAAAACCCCCAGTCAATCTGACACTGAACAGAGAAAATTTGAAAGCATTCCTGCTTATAAACAGATAATATATCCCTCTAAGTTCTTTTAAGCATAGTACTGGAAATCATAGCCAGAGCTTCTGGCAAGGGAAGGAAACTAAGGGAGTCTCAATCAGAGCAGAAGAGGTCAAACCATCACTCTTTACAGATTAATGATCTCGGAAAACACCAAAGAGTCTGCCAAAAGCTACTGGAGTTGATAAATAAGTTCAGCAAAGTCTCAGGTTACAAAATCAATGTACACAAATCAGGAACTTTCTCATAGGCCAACAACTGTGAAACTGAGAACCAAATGAAAGATGCATACCTTTCATAATTGAAACAAAGCAAATGAAATACTTAGGAATATATTTACTAAAGATAAGAAGGACTTCTACAGGGAGAATTATAAAACACTGAGGAAGGAAATAGAAGAGAATAGAAAAATACAGAAAAGCATTCCATGGTCAAAGATAGGCAAAATCAACATTGTTAGAATATCTATACTACCCAAAGTAATCTACTGATTCAATACAATTTGTGTTAAACTAATAACATCATTGTTTACAGATTTAGAAAAGTAATTCTATACTTCATATGGTACAAGAGAAGGCCCCATAAAACAAAAACGACATTGAGGAACATGAACAAATTGAGAGGCATCCGTTTACTAGACTTTCAGCTATAGTACAAGGCTATCGTAACCAAAACAGCATGGCATTGTCACAAGAACAGGAAATAGAACAAAGGAACAGAACTGAGATCACAGATATAAAACCATCCTCATATAGCCATGGAATAGCAGACAAGAACGTGTACAGGGGAAAGAAATCCCTTTTGAATAAATGGTCCAGTGAAAATTGGATAGCCACATGTAGAAGAGTGAAGCAGGATCCACACCTCTCATCTCTCACAAAAATCAACTCACAATGGATGAAAGACTTTATCCTATGGCATAAAACCATAGAATTTTAGAAGAAAATGTTGAAAATGCTCTTACATACTTCAGCCTAGACAAAAAATTTAGGAAGATTACCCCAAAATCAATCACACCACCAACAAAAATAAATAAATCAGGCCTCATCATACTAAAAAGTTTCCACACAGCCATTAAAAGTATAACTAGAGCAAACAAACAACCTAGAGAATGGGAGAAAATATTTGCATGCTATATATTCAATATATTGCTAATAGCTAGAATTTATACATAAGTCCAGGAACTCAGTAAGATAAAATCAAACAACCTGATTAAAAGCGTGCCAATATATGAACAGAAAGTTTTAAAAAGGACATGTACTATGGCCAAGAAGCATATGAAAAAAGTGTGTACATCTCTATTCATCAAGGAAATGCAAATGAAAACCAAACTGAGATATCCCTTAACTCCAGTGAAAATGGCTTTTATCAATAAGCCCAAAATAAGTGTAGGTGTGGATGTAGAGAGGTAGGAACACTTATATACTACTAGTGGGACTGCAAACTGGTACAATCTCTCTGGAAAGTTATATGGAGACACAGGAAAGTACTAAATTTAGAACATCCATTTGATCCAGAAATCCCACTACTTGGTATCTAACCAATGTAAAAACGTCATCCTATAATAAATACATCTGCACTTGAATGTTTATAACATCAAAATTTACAATTGCAAAGAGGTAGAAACATCCTTGGTACTTATAAATACATTAATATAAATATATCTATAAATAAATATAAAATGTGATATATGTATACCATGGAGTACTACTGAGCCTCAAATTCAGTGGCTAAATGACACCCTTTTATATTATCCTTGATTGTGCTGGAGGCCTTTCTTTAAAGTAAACTATCACAAGAATGGAAAAACAAGCACCACAAATAGTCACTATCAAATTGTTACCAATCGATCAACACATATGTGAACAAATGGAAGTAAAATTCAGTGGGTATTGGGCTGTTGGAAGGGGGAGAAGGTGTTGGGAAAATCCACTCCTAATGGGGTGTTGTGGTGACACGATCTGTGGGATGGGCAGGCAGTTGGTAGCTCTGATCAGTCGATGCAAAACCAATGTACATATTTAAATGATTTACTCCAATAATATTTGAAATTAAAAAGAACAATTTTAGCTAATATGTAAGAAGTTTTGAAAAAGTTCATCTCTGTATCCTCTTTAAGATGATTCTCTATTTTATTATTAAGTATTGTTAAAAATCACAACAAATTGAATTTAATTACTTTTAGTTGTGTAACATTCAGTATGTGAAGCTATATTACATGCATCATGTACTATATTGTCTGGAATGTATGTACTAAGTATAAAGGTGAATTTCCAGTACACATGAGAAACTACTGTTTTGCCATTGCCTAATGCTGACGAAAAGAATTGA